GCGCAAAATCAAATTAATCAAGACTTAAAATCAGTTGTTACATATTCTAATGATCATCTCCTTACTATCAATGGAAAAAATCATGCGCAATAGTCTTTGGCAATGAGCAACAGAAAGCGAAAGCTATAATTCATTTCAAAATTAAATTAGATGAAAATACTTTACAATTTAGTGACAACTGTAAAAATTTAGGTATAGTTTTCGATTCCAAATTGAGGTTTAAAAAACATGTAAGTGAGAAAATAAAAAGAGCATACTCTTCCTTAAAAATGATATATCAACATAGACATAGTTTACCTTATTCTATTAAAATATCACTATGTGACTCTCTAGTTCTTTCACACTTTAACCATGCGGGTGTAGTCTTCTCACCATGCATTGACAGCAATGATTTGGGTCGAATACAAAAAGTACAAAATTCCTGTATGCGTATGATCTTCGGTATTCTATATCTTACAAATTAAAGGAAATAGGATGGTTAAGCATGTATAATCGAAGGATTCTGCACTCACTCTGTCTATTTCACAAAATTTTAAAATTTAAAACCCCATCATATCTTTATGAGAAAATCACCTATAGAACTGATGTTCACAATCTTCAACTTAGAACTAAAAATACACTTAATATACCTAAACACTATAAGGAAATGTACAAAAGATCGTTTTCGTATCAAATATCTCATTTCGGCCACCTATTTGGTGAAACTGATGTTGCCCTTTCTATTAAATCATTTAAAAAGAAACATAAAAAAGATTATTTAATAAACAACACTAAAACATGATCATCTTACTGGTTTAACTTTTGCTGTATTCCTTTCTGGCGAAAATGTTATACGTTTTTATTTTTTGTTTTTATTGATTGTTATTATAATTTTCTGCAAATATTTTTAAAATATATTTATTTTTTTATATTAAAAAATCTGATGTGTCCAACACATGACTTTCCTATCTAATTATTATAGGCTTTTTCCGGTTATTTTGTACAACCTATTGCAGCACCTCTATAAATGTTTAGAGGATAAACTAAATATATACATTTTCCACAGACATCTAACTCGAAACATTTTTCTATAGATATTCATTGAAAACGAAAATACTGAAAAATTTAAATTTAGCATTTTTTCTTCAATTTCTTCAATACGGTCCATTTTAGAAAAATCATATAAAAAACAAAAATTGTAGAGGTCGCTATCACAAATAACTTTTATTTAAACAATTTTCCTAAAAATTTGAATTTTATTACATTTTGTCAAATTTCTCGAATATGGACCATTTAAAAAAAAATTGTTTAGAACCAAAATTATAGATAATAATATTGTAAGTAATTTTAATCTGAACAATTTTCTTCTCCAAACATCAATAACATATATTCCATAAAATATAAAAACGGCCTCCCATAAAGTACCCCCCCAAATGTTCCGTCTTCGTCCAAAATCTAATCATTTCACCTCAGGCCGAAATAAAACTTAAGTATAAAATTTAATGTTTTTGAGTTTTCTTCAAAATTCGAAATTTAAACATTTTCTCAAATACGGTCCATTTTAGAGAAATTATGTAAGGGATAAAAATTATAGATAATTATATTACAAACAACTTTTATTTGAACAATTTTTATAAAAAAGTATTTTTTTTACATTTTGTCAAATTTCTCGAATACGGATCATTTTAGGAAAATTTTGTATAGAAAAAAAATTATAGATAATAATATTATAAGTAACTTTTATTTGAAAAATTTTCTTCTCCAAACGTAAATAACGGATATATTTCATAAAATATAAAAATGACCACCAATAAAGTACCCCCCAAATGTTCCGACTCTGCCCAAAAACTAATCAGTTCTTTGGACGATGGAATAAAGCTTAAGTTTAAAATTTGGTGTTTTTCTTTGTATCGGTTCATGAGTTATGGTGGATACACACACACACACACACACACACACACACACACACACACACACACACACACACACACACGCACGCACGTACGCACGCACGCACGCACGCACGCACGCACGCACGCACACAGGGGACCCCAAAACGTATAAATCCGTCGAAAACTGGAGGTCGAAAAAAATCATGATTCCTATACTTTCCTTATCTGTATACAGATAGGAAAGTAAAAATCTATGCAATATAATTATTCTTTCAGTTATATATAAATATAATGCACTAGGTAGGTACTTAATGTCTAGTATTTGTCACTTCCAAATATTTATTTTTTCTCTTCCTCTTTAATTACATTAGGACATGGGTATAGAAATATAAATATATTTAATTTTGTATTTGTAGGTTATAGTGGAAGAATTGGTCTGCATACCTAACTATTACCTTTTATTTATCATCATTAATTGTTATAAAATTGTGTATTCTACATTTGTTTTATATGATAAATAATAAACTATTATTATTATTATACATATATCAGCCTAATATTATTTTCATTTTCAAATGCAGGTGATATTTTTTTCAAATGTAGGTAAGTAAATTGTATTGATTTAGTGTAAGTTAGATTTAACTAATTTAACTATAGGGAGATTCTTAAGAATGTCATTAACTTCTGATTCATTTAAATTTTAATTGTAAAAGTAAATATTTTTCTGACAAAACTAACAAGAAATTTTATATTTTTTCTGCTATTATTACTCTTAGAGATAAATGGATCCACATTTTAAACATTTGTGATCAAAAAAATGAAAGGAGTTGTGAGCGAAATGTATGAGGCCAATTTACAACCCTACTCAACTTTTTTTTTTTCAAATGCAAAGGTACGTCGTGTGTATTGTCATTGAAAAGCTCGTGGCAAATGGAATCTCACCATACCTTGTTTTTTCTTTTAGTTATGTGGCTATTGGGAAATGAGAAAAAATTATTTTAAAAACAAAAAGTTACAAATACCTTTTTAGTACTACCGACGGGTAAATTAACGTAGCAGAAAATATCCTCCACCCTCTACTTAGCAGGCTCCCAGGCGATGGTAAAACCCGTCTATGGAATTCCGAATAGCCTCAGCGGGTATGTTATTTGATTCCATTCCAATTCTGTATTTTAGATCTTCCATATTAGCCGGCCTATTTTGAAAAACCTTGTCTTTCAGATCTCCCCAAAGAAAGTAATCTAATGGCGTGAAGTCTGGGGATCTTGGTGGCCATTTAATTGTACCACATCGTCCAATCCAGCGTCCTGCAAATATTTCATCGATATATTCTCATTAATACCAAAATATGGGGGAGTGCCATCCTGGATCTACTTCGTTGGAAATCATAACATCTAGAGCAGGTACTAATTCAAATCTGAAAAAGTCTAAGTAGCATTCAGCTGTAAGGTGTTCCTCAAAAAAGTATGGACCTAATATTCTCTTGTTGATGATACCTGCCCATACATTTACTTTCTGAGGACGCTGCTTATGAACTTCACAAAGCTAGTGGGAGTTTTCCTCTAGAAACGATAATTGTGCCTGTTAACTACTCCATTTAAATAAAAAGTAGCTTCATCTTCACAAAATTACATACGCCAGACGCAGCATGATTTTGGGCCAATAAAACCGTTAACAAATAATGTGGATCTTCCTGCAGAGAAAAGGCAATGTCCAATTTTTATCTTCATCTAAAACATGTGGCCGGCCACTTTTGAGCAAGTCCTTCACTGTACCATGTTCTTCAAATTTGTGGGATATCTTACTAACAGTACCCTGTGAAATGTGATTTTCCGGATTAAATAAAGTACACACTTAACTTTGACTTTATATTCTATCCTTACATGCCAACAATATCAAGACTTCGATACGCTCCATCTCTTACAGTATCATTCTTGTTTAATAAATTAAAACAGAACACTTTTAAGATACACAAATTAATAAACTAGACGTTTTTATTCAATTGTACACAAAAATGCTAAAAACAGCACAAAAATATTTATCAAGGCAAAAAACTATTTTCCTTTTTAAAGCAAACTGCTAAACGATTGCTTAGGATTAAACTCATTTTATGTTTCAGTTTTTTCTGAAAACATAAACTCCAACGAATATTGATCAGGTTTAAACATGGTAAATCAATAAAATTTGGTGTTCTGAGTGCCTAGATTCGCCTGTTTTTAATAAAGACTCATTCAGAATTAAAGATAGCCTACCAATATTAGGTTTTATCATCACCTGGGAGCCTGCCAAGTAGAGGGAGGAAGATATTTTCAACGTCTGCTACGTTAATTCGCCCGTCGATAGCACTGAAAAGGTATTTGTAACATTTTGTTTTTAAAAGAATTTTCTCATTTTCCAGTAAAAGAAAAAAGTATGATGAGATTCCATTTTTCAAATTTAAAAAAAAAATTGGTTAGGGTTGCAGCTAAGTGGTCGAAGAAAAAAATTTATTGGCAATTTATTGCATCTCCATATCATGGGGCTGTCAAAATCCGCACTCTGCAGGACTTGCGAAAAAGAAGATGAGACCATCTAGCATATCCTTTACGATTGCCCGACGTTCTCATTTATTAGACGATTTGTGTTCGGCAAGAATTGGCTAACACCTGCCGATATAAGTGAAGCACCTCTTGGCGACGTTGTCAACTACATTAAATTTGTAGATTGGCTCACGAGATAGGAGGATGCACAATGGGCCTAGTGAGGCCTAAGTGCCATGGGGTAACCCACCCTCCACACGCTATAGATACAGATACAGAGGGGATAATGAAGAGGTGAAACTTGGAAATGGGGGGGAATAGATGAGACTCGTATATTCGTATCTTCTTAATTTGATCTTATACCGACTATTAAATCAGTAAATAATATCAAAGCTGTAATCTTGTTGTCCATAGAATATTATTTCTTTCTTGTAACTTTTAAAAAACTATCCATGACGTCCAGGGTATATTTATTTAAGTGTAAAATTTTATATCATCCCGTATAATTTCTCCGACATTTTATCATATCGGCAAAATCCAGTCGGCTAGGTAAATGCATAAAATGCATAAAAAATCCTTAAAAATAACTTAAAACTTCCAGATATCTGAGTCAGAGATGCGCACCTACATGCGTACATCTTCCGAAAATCCACTTAAAATACGCATGTGCCGTCGCGACGCCTTACTTTATTTCGATTTCCAACGTCTCGACGTTCTCACATACGAACGACTTTGCCACCACTGTCAGGCGGCGACAGCACGCGGGTTTCAACACTGAAATTTTCGACGGTCAGTGCATCTACGAACTAAAAACAAACGCTATAAAATATCCTGAAGATGTCTTCTTCCTCTGTGGCGAGGGCTTCCAAATATTCCTACAGATCCTCCGGAAGCGCAGGAGGTGCTGACGTCAGCATCGAATACAGCGCTGACTTGACAGCTCTTTCCAGGCTTGAGGTAAAAATACGAATCGCCTTCGTCATCGGAGATCAGATTTCAAGATTTTTAAGGAATTGTGATATTTCGTGTTTTTAATACCCTTATTTTTTTATTGTGAAACGTGTGAAGTGTCTCCTTTTAGTGATCATTGGATATGCTACCACCTGTAACTGGTCGGTAAAAGTTTTCTTAGTTAATGTTCAACAAAAATTTAATTAACACAAAATCTTTATAGAAAATGTAGAATTTGCTTTTTTATCAAAAAATTACATTTTTGGTTTGAAAACTAATTTTAGGAACCTAGAATATTTTTTCCGAAAGTGTATTATATTTTTGACAGTTATTTTTAGAATCTTCTATTATTACTTAAAAATGTAACGTAACACAACGCTCTAGAGCTATTGGCACAAAACCCCATCATAGTAGACTAAAAAAAGATTTATAAAAATAAATATTCAAAATTACAGATAACAGATGAGATTCATTTAGTGAAATTTGACACTTCTAATATTTTTTAACATTCTCATTATAGACGATTCATGGAAATAAAATCAGTACTTAAATGCTATATTTTCAGTTAGATATTCATAATCCGAAAATTTTTTCTCATTAAATATATAAAATACGCATGTGCAATAAGAAAATATTAAAGTATATCAAGTTTTTTGAAATTTAATACGTTAAAATTTAAAAATGTGGGTTTAACTGTAAAATCCTTTTGGAACACAAAATCTTACACATCTACATTTACTTATCTATATTTTTATTACTATATTTAAAATAAACTGCTAAAATGTGGCCATCTTCATAAATGAAAATAAATACTCAAAATACAACAAAACCATTTTTTCTTTTAATAAATGCAGCTATCCATTTGTTTAAAATCAAATAGTTTTATGCTACACATTTTGAGTATTTTTTTTTATTTGCTAAAAAAAAAATTAAAACAATCATGATCGCTTACTGATGAATTATTTTAATTTTTTTTTAATAAATCTACAAAAATAATAAAAATGCATGTTTTTCATAATATTTCTAATGATAACTTTGTTTATTTTACTTGGTACTGATAATTTCAAAACATAAATTCACAGTTGTATTTCCACTACTATGTCAGCTTATGTGACACCAAAAGTGACATTGATAGATCAGAGACATCTGTAATGCAATTAGTTTTGTTTCAAATTTTTTATTGTTCTAACTTTAATTCTCTTTAGCTCAACTTAAAACAAACAGTTTGTAGACCTTGAAAATTCAAAATTATTTGTTTCTAATTTTAGATCCAGAGATAATAGGTAGGTATATATTTCATGAATTCTTCAAAATTTTAGATATATCTGAGCGTATTTTTTACAATTAACTGTCAATACCACTACGATAGCTGTAAAACTGCGTTTTATTTTTTTTTTATTTTTATTAAAAATCTTTATTTTATCTCACATATGGCAATATTGCTTTAACAGTCACATCTACATGTATAGTTTTCCAATTTTGACATTCTTTATTTTTTACAATTAAGTGTCGATACCACTACGATTGCTATAAAATTGCATTCTGAATATTTTAATTTTTCTTAAAAACCAATATTTTATTTTATCTCACATATGGCAACATTGCTTTAACAATCACACCTACGTGTATAGTTTCCTAATTTTGGCATAAAACGTTTTTAATTTTCTATTGTAGTAGAGGTTACTACTATTTTTACGACTATTTTTAAAATTTAGCAAAAATATTGCAAAAATTTGCACGGTAGTTCAACAGTTTGTCTATTTTTGGACTATGCTGAAATTGAATGTCAAATACAAATTTTTTTTATATATGTATATAAGTAGAATCTACTATTATTTTTTTGTAAGATGATATTCAAATTGAATGTCCAAGCGCTAAATATAAAATGCTAGTTTGAAAAGTGTCCTTAGTTATGTAAATTTCACAAATGAAATAAATTGGCACATCTTCAAAAATACCGTTTAAATTAAAACCTGAAGTGTTTTAGCCTGAAAAATATCACACTAGCTTAAAATATTGAAGGTAATAAAATATACTTACGCGATTTTTATTAGGAGGTACCTACATTTAAATTATCATTTTGTTGTTATAAATGTCTAAGATATTTGGCAACATTTACCATACTAAAACTATGAATAATAATTTTCTATACATCTTTCATCAATTATTTCTTAAAATATTTAATGCCGGATATTTAAACCTATTTTAAAAGTATTTGAGATATCATTGTCTGGTTTTAAACTGGAAATCTTTAAACATTTTAAACAATTACACCAGAAATTAGGGACACTTTTATGATATTCAGAATCTATCTACCTTCTTTTCTATTTCTAAAAATACAAATTCAAATAAAAACGAGAGACTAGGAAAAAACATCAACACTTTGAACAATTATTATCGAACTAATTTATGTTTGTATATACAGGGTGTGCCACGCTCAACGGGACGGAGTCTGATTGGTAAACTACCAACGATATTACAAATTCCTTTGGCACAAATATAAAACTCAACGGCGGTTACAAATTAAAATTATGTTCATATATACAGGGTGTCCCAAATTAGAATACCAAAACACAGTTATTTTTTTTAAATAGAACTCCGTATAATTACTTTTAATTTAAAGTTCTTAAAAATAATTTCCTTTACCTATCTTTGATAATTTCCGATTTATTTGAGTTTTTTTTAAATGTAGTTTTGTCGAAAATAATTAATTACTCTTGATTACAAAATAATTAATTAACACATTTTTGGCAGTTTCTCACAAAATGTTGTAACTTTTTATTAAAATGATTAAAATATTCAAAAAATGAACGGAGTGTTTGCAATTTGATGTTTTATTGCAGTAAAATTTTCTATTCAATTACTGCGTTAATTTTATGTATTTATTTATTTTTATTTATTTATAATTACATCACCAAAACAGCTTATGCCACTTACAGGGTGACGGGAAAATATACAAAAAACAAAAATAAGTTAGAAGATAAAAGTAAACATTTATACAAAAAAGCATCAAAATACGTTGTGCATAAGTTACAAACATACGCTTGAAAAAAATAACACAATATGTGAAGAAGAAAAAAGTGTATGTCTGTAAAAATGATTTGCAATTTTACAATTTTAAAATTAAAATAAGTGGGTTTTGATACATTGGACCAAAAGTTCTATAAAACAGTTATAAAAAAGGAAAAATAAAATGTTAATTATTGTATGATACTAATTTCCTTCAGATCGTGATAAACTTTGATCATTTGATGTATTGGCGAAGAAGATAGAGTGTTAGTCCTAGCAACTGTTAGTTGAAAACTTACACAAATTTGTAGTCCTGGTCTAGGAATTCTAAGTGATATATATTTCATTAGCTTAATGCAGTCCACTTTTTTATATAAAAGATTATATAGGAAGAGCAATTGATGTGATGCCCTGCGATATTTTAGTTCCGTTAAATTAAATCTTGATAGCAAATCGCTTTGTGGAAAACCTCTAGGAGGATATTGACCATCTAAAATGTACGAGGCCGACTTCATGAATTTTTTCAAGGTTGTTAATATAAATATTATACATAGGGTTCCAAACTACACTTGCATATTCGAATCTAGATCTAACAAAACAAAAACAAAAATTTCTAAGCCATTGAACTCTTTGCCATTTCTTATAACAAAACCAAGCATTTTGCTACAATTCGATATAATTTTGTCAACGTGTTTGGAAAACGTTAATTTTGAGTCAAGTATCACACCAAGATCATTAATACAATCAGTTCTATTAATTATTATCGTACCATCTAAACTGTAGTCGAATACTATTGGACTTACTTTTCGGCTAAATACCATATTACACTTAGATGGATTCAAAGGCAAAGTATTTGATTCACACTATTTATTAACTAAACTTTATCTAAAGATTTTTGGAGTTCCCTGCAATCGTCAATTAAACGTATCTCCGCATATATTTTTAGATCATTAATAAAAATGTTAAAGAGAAGAGGTCCTAATATTGAACCTTGGGATACACCGGACTTTTGTAAAAATAGAGCTTATATGTTAATACCCTGTATTTTATGGTACCAATATGAAGGACATTTTATTTCCTTTAAAAGCTCTATAAGGTTCCCTATTTTTAAACCTATTAGTTTCAATGAATCAATACATTTTAAATGCCTACTAATAGTTTTATTTTAACAAAACCATTAAATAAACAGATGTATCCAAAATTTGTCAATTAATTTAAAATTTACAATAAATGTTCAAAATGATGTCCACTATTGTCAATGGATATTCTGATTTTCAATTTTTTCTTTTTAAATTTCCCAAAATATCTTAATTAATAATAGCAAACACATCACGATGCGTTTTTTCATATCTTCGGCGGTGGTCGGATTAGTTTGATAAATTACATTTTTACCATATCCCCAAAAAAAAATCTAAAGGGGTTAGATCGGATGATCTAGGAAGCTTCTTTTTATCAATTTTTTAGGAAATATTTGGTTTATATATGTCCTGGCATTATTGGGTAGGAGCACCATCTAGCTGCAGCCACAATTTTCTTTTAATATCTTTAGAATGTTCCAAAAATAATTTTTCAAAAATTTTAAAAATTTTCTTTTACTTAAATGGCCATCAAAAAAGTAGGGCCCCACCAACTGCCTACTCGATCTACAGTTCGAAATTCATGTTTATTTTCGGTGCTGTAATAATGAAAATGTATGTCTATTCACAAATCCGTTTTTATAAAAAGTAGATTTATCAGTAAATAGTATTGTTCAAAATCTGTTTCATACAAAGTTTGGTGCGTCTGAATTTTAAATGGATGATAAAAATGATTTTTATGGATTTGGAACACTTGTTTGGCTGAGATTTTCGATGACGGATAGAAAAACATTTTGTTGATTAGTTTCGTCATCTGTTGTGAACTAATTTATAGTACGCTTTTTATTAGCAACAGTACCAGTTTTATCAAATCTTCTTAAAAGTCTTTCAAAAACGTATTTCCTGGAATGATCTTGGAAG